AAAAATGATCTAAAAATTTAAAGAATACAGAAATGAAAGACCCCATCCACTGATTCCAGACCCTCCTTAATGATGTAACTTGAAAACATGAAACAATGCGAACAGATTTGATTGTTTATCGGAAATAATTAGAAAGTTGCATGTTTGTTTGTTGTTTATAAACAACAGTATCGGTACATATTATTCATTTGTACTGTATGTATCTTTACCAGTGATTAAGTACAAGCCAGGGGTGGATCTTAAGTTTTGACAATAATTAAGGGATGTGCTTGACCAAAAAAGCATGTCTAATTCTTTGTAGATTTCTTATAACCAATTAAAATAAATTTGTGCATTTCTTTTACATATTTGAGGAGTTTTGTTAGGGCAGAGTTGTTGGGTTCATCCCCTCTGAATGCCAAGAACTTTCTTTTATGTTAAAAATAAACAAAGAGATAAATCTCTAAAATCTTGTATAAACTTTACATATAACATTCAAATTTTACTTTTTTCTTTCTTTTCTTAAAACTTTTTGTCTATCATTGAAAAAAAGCTTTGACTTAATTTCTATCCCTGAAAAGTTAGAAAATGGGACTTTTTTTATTTTAAAGAGGAAGAGTTATTTTTTTTTTTAATTTATTCACCAAACAGGCCTGTGTTTGTCAGTTGAGACAAAGTTTATAGACACAAGGGATCAGATGGCTCAAACAGTAGTATTATGAAACCATAGGAGGTTTTATAAATAAGATCCTTCAAATAGATAAAACTGTGTCAACCATGTCAACATGCTATTCTGTTTTCAATTTCTTTTAGAAAATTTAGTAATTATTTCTAAATAAAAGAAAACTTATCTTGATTTTCAGAGAGATTTAGTGACTGACCTTCAGGTTCACTGAAGTATAAAATTACACTGAAATATACCACAACTGAATACATTTCATAAAGAAAGTTGTCAGTATCATTTTTTGTCCTACTGCTTTGGGGGGTTCAATATCCTTTGCTTCAAATATTTTTTATTCAATTTCAAAATATTTTATATAAATGGAGACAAAAGTCATTAAGTGAAGATATTTAACTTTTTGCCAGCTATGGTCCCCAAATACATAGGTTTATTTTGCATGTAAAATTATGGGTTTATTTTAAAGTCAATCGTCAAGTATGTGGTTTGTAGTACCTTGTAAAAGTAACCAAATGAAAAAAATAAAGGGCATTTCTTTAATACATAACTGTAGCTAACTGTCTCTGATGTCAGAGAATTTCAATCTATTTTGCTTAAATGCATTTATTATTGGAATTGTTGAACAATCAATTCCAATGCGAGATAAATTATTGCTATTTCAGAAAACTTGCTATTTCAGAAAACGCTTCATATTATAAAAACATTGCAAAAATTTCCGAATAATAGTAGTACTTTTATCCATAAAACTGTTTCAAACTGCATAAAATATGTATAGTGCATTTCTGGATTTTTTTAAATATTTTTCATGAAAGGTATGTGTATAACAATAATTTGCTGCATAACTTAATTCAGCAGGTTTGTTTGTTATTATCAATAAAATAAAACACTTTAACGATATCATTATCAAAAATATTAAATGTCTATAACCTCCCTTTCATGAGACAAAATTTCATGACAATCCATCTATGAAATATTGTCTTAATATTCACAAAATGTAACTTTTGATAATCTTCCTTTAACAAGACAAAATGTTATACTATTCATCTATGAAATATTTAGATATAAGAAGATGTGGTATGATTGCCAATGAGACAACTCTCCATCCAAGCCAAAATCCACAAAAGTAAACCATTATAGGTCACAGTACGGTCTTCAACACAGAGCCTTGGCTCACACCAAACAGTAAGCTATAAAAGGCCCCAAAAATGACTAGTGTAAAACCATTCAAACGGGAAAACCAACGGTCTAATCTATATAAAAAACGAGAAACGAGAAACACTTATGAACCACATCAACAAACGTATATACAATATTTCATATGGAAATTTGTCCTTCTCTGGACAATATTTCCTAGATAGGGACAAAATTTCATGATACAAAGTCATGAAATATTGTTTGGGGGACAATATTTCATAGGACAACATTTTGCTTTACCATTGTTACCAATTTAGGCTTTTAAAGTATTTTAGCAAATCCTGTATCTTATTCATCCAACTATCTACACAAAAACAACAGGAAAAAGTCCTGTTAGTAGTCAACAGTTCCGCTTCTGATTAAACCAATCATTGTCATCAATCTAGGCTAAAATCATATTTGAAGCCATTATCCTGTATATTATCCACCCCACAAATATATACAAAAGCAACTAAAACAAAATCTAGTAGCCAGTTGGGCTTTTGATCGACTTGCTACAATTCCCTTTCTTTTATTTATTTATTTATTTATTTATTACTAATCTATATGTTTACTGAAAACTGCCAGCATACTGATTGCCCCTTCCTCTGCAGATGTCAGTATAATGAAAATCTCTTAGTTATAGCAGTAAAATTGTTAAAGGGGCAAAATTGAAAAAAAAAAAATTAGGAAGGGACATGTAGCAAGTCTAGGCTTTTGATTAAACCTTTTTATAGTCCAGACCAAATTTTAGGGGTTGTGCACTGCTAAATTGGTCAATATTTCATCTATTTTCAAGAAGATAAATGTGTGTGCATTGATACAAGCATAAATGTGAAAAATACATTTTTAATGTTGATGTAAAAACTTCCATTTACAAAAGTACAAGCACAAAGACCGCATTAAAGCTGTGACCTTTGCAAATCTATTTTAAGAATAAACCATAAAAAATCTACAAATTACTACAATAAATGTGATAATCCCCTTTATAGCATCATGCATTGTGTAAAACTACCTTGAATATAAAAATTGTGCACATATAAAAACTCATGCCCAAATAAATAGGGTCAATAGCTTAATACCTATTCAAAGTTTGTTTTGTTATGAAAATATTTATTTTTCAATTTATATAAATTAGATATCTTGTCCCTATAAAAATAAATAATGATCAATAAATTATTGGATATAGTTACTTATCAATAAAACATATTTTAACCTTCATTGTAAACATGCACACCTGGGGGAAAGATATAAAAATTTTCAAACCATCATTTACAATTTCTCAGCAATCAATTTTTTATGTGAGGAAATATTTTTTTTCTCAGTTCAGTGAAAGATTCTTGATACATAAAACTCTCAAAATATCTATACCAATACCAATATATTTCCCACGATTGCAAGTTTTCTTAAAACTTAACTTCTCTTTTGTAGAACTTTACTAAATACATTTTTTTTGTGAATTACTGGTAATCAAATGAAATATTACTAAAAACATAAAATTTCATTTTTAAATTCACTATTCAAATGTTAAAATATTTATATATTCATAAAATAAGTTTGAAACATTTCTATAAATATAAATATCATAAAAGCATGCTATAAAATTTAAACAGACAAATTATGACTCATTCTTATAAAAACCACTGAACCCTAAAAATATTATCAAAATAGAAAATATGAAAAAAAGCATAGCATGAATTGGTTGCTTTTACCATTGAGATAAAGAACAGTCGATGGAAGGTTTAATGTTCTAGTTGTTTTGCTGTGACCTAGTATACAATTAAAAAGAAACATTTAGTGAGTCAACAAAATCTATAGTCTGCAATATTCAGAAGCACAGAGATCTATCTCCAGGCGAAGATCCAGTATTTGATGTTAGGAGGGGGCTCCTTAGAATTAGGGAGTTAGAGGACCATGTTTTCTGAATTTGCTCCTGACCTCAATTGCTAATACCTCAGACCTGTAATTGCTAATAAAACATAATTAAGCCAACAATTATTATTTGAAGCATATATAATACCATAAACATTTTTAACATGGCCTTACGATTGAAAAAATTGTCCAATAACACACACACAGATTGTCTAAAAACCAGCAAGCATATAAAACTGGTATTCAGTCTGTTAAAGAGATATTATATGTAGATTCAAGGGTACCAGCCACACCACAGCTCAGGTGGGCTTTTTTCTTTGGGAGTGGTCAAAATGTGGGGTGGGGGAACATATAGATGGCCCCTGCATCATCCCCATTGAGTAAATTAGAACATTTTTTTTTCTTTAGTTATGCCATCCCCTTTGAGTAAATAAGAACATGTCATTTCTAATCTTTAATTAGAGCTGTTCCCAAAGTAAATTGATTGGGGGCATGGAAAGTGTTCCCAAAGTAAATTGATTGGGGGCATGGAAAGTATTCCCAAAGTAAATGGATTGGGCATGGAAAGTGTTCCAAAAGTAAATGGATTGGGGGCATGGAAAGCATTCCCAAGGTATACTGATTGGGCATGGAAAGTATTCCCAAATTAAATGGAATGGGCATGGAAAGTGTTCCCAAATTAAATGGATTGGGCATGGAAAGTGTTCCCAAATTAAATGGATTGGGCATGGAAAGTGTTCCAAAATTAAATGGGTTGGGAGCATGGAAGGCACTTTCAAAACCCCAACCTCCCATCATGTAAAACTTTTGTTTTGCATAAAATTCTTACAAATTCTAACGGAAAATGCAACCAATCAAAATTAATCAATCAGAGTGCCTCTTACCACACAATCACCATCAATTTTGGGACAGGTTCTGTCTTGTAAAAATTGAACATACAATACATAGAAATTGCTATAAATTTATTAGAGGGGAGGGGGGATCTTTACCTCTGAGCTGTTGTAGTGTACATAATGCAAAAGAAATAAGTTTTTTTTAAGGTATGTTAGCTGTAGTTTAATTTATCATTCTATATATGTGGTTTGAGGAAATAGCTTGTTTTAAACTATGTTAGTTTTGATCAGAGTTAATTCATTTTCTTCATGCATGACAATACTATATATTTATATTTGGGTTAATTTTTCTACATTTATTTGTGGTCAATATCATCAGTGAGGTTAATTTCAACCAGTTCAGTAATAAGTTGTAGAAGTACAGGCTTTTAAAATATCTATGGAAACTGAAAAAAAACCCTTACCTGAAAAAGATCTGAAAGCAAAACCAACGGGGCTAGCTCTATACTCTCCAACTCGGCCATCTTTGAGTGGTTTTTCTACGGTTTGTCTTAATACAGGTTCGTCATAGTAACCTCGGGACGTTAAATCAAAAGTTGTCAGAAGAGATCCAGGTCTGAAAATGAAAAAAAAACATATCTAAATTATAGTTTTTATCATATAAAAATAAAGAGATGTAGTATGATTGCCAATGAAACAACTATCAACCAAAGTTCAAATGAGGTGAATGTAAGCAATTATAGGCAACCATACAGCCTTCAACAATGAGATAAACCAATACCGTTTAGTAGGCTATAAAAGGCCCTGACATAAAAAATATGAAACAATTCAATTGAGAAAACTAACAGCCTAACTTATAACAAAACAATTTACAAACAACAAATATGACAAACATTTTAACCAACAACAACCACTGACCTACAGGCTCCTGACGTGGGATAGGCACATACAGAATGTGGTGAGGTTAAAAATGTTTGTGAGCACTCAACCCTCTCCTAAGGCTGGGACAGTGGTGTTACAACACAATATAAGAACAAACTATAAAAATCAGTTGAAAAGGTCTTGAAAATACATGCATACTCAAAATCAAAATGGCTTTTGAAACAAAATATTTGTTTCTGCAATTTCCTACTTTATTTGTAACTATCAGGAGAGTATAAAATTCAAAAAGATTTACATTAAAAGTAAACTGCAGATGTTATTAAGCAATTCTGTCAAGTTTCATTCTATTCAAATGAAAGTGAAAGGAGTTTTTTTGCATTTGCACATCATGCGTTGCTATGGGAATCCCTAAAATTTGATATGCTCAAAGAAAAAATAAAAGTGCAGTAAAAAGATGTTAAGTAATTCTGTCAAGGGCATTCATTTCCTATGTTAGTTGTAGGAGATTTTAGACTTACAATCTTGTTTTATGGACAAATAAACAGAGAGAGACAGACAGACAAAAACAAGAAGTCATCGACCAAAATGGAGTCATAATCATAAACAGAAAATTTTGCTAGTAGTCAACACTATGATACTTGTGCTAAGTTGGGAACATCTTTAATGGTTATCGTTTGTCTTTTAAGGAATTTGGTACATATATTAAGAGGGTAGGAATGCCCTTTACCGTCAGGCGTCAAGCGGTCATTTTTGACTACCGTTGGCGTCAAATTGGCTAAAATTTTACCGTGATTCATCAGAGGTCTCAAATAATTATCGTTACTGTTATTTTTGGGAAAAAATTAACGTGATTCGTCAAAAACAGTCGACTTTTTTATCATCTTAAAGAAAGTGTACATTTTATCGTCATGCACCAAAAATTAACGTTAACGTCATTTGGCAAGATTTTTTACCGTTATTCGTCATGAAGGTACCCCCATTATGACCCTCATATTAAGGGCAGGTATTTGATACTCACTGTTTGATTTAATCTCTGCTTTTTAGACAATTCAGAACTTGACACATTGTATATATACATTTGTTAATTTTGAGGACTGAAAGTTGACCTCTAGTAATGTCTCTGAATTGTTTTTTGTTATTGTTGGGTTTCTGTCCCATCTCATTTTATTTTCACACACACATTAATCTAATATCCCATCATTTAAAGAATAACTTGCTTTGAACTTGTCTCCGATTTTAAAGTGAAATATCATATTTCCCAGAATGCTCTTAGCATGCTTGGAAAAATCATCAAGTTTAAGGATTGCCCCTCACTTAAATTTTAATACTGGTACTTACTGAAATTGAACCACAACTATTTCCTGGGTACCAGGTATATTTACATATAAACGTGTTATGACATTCTGAATTTTTTCTGCTAAAGTCTTAAATTCATTACTGTCTCTATTAGATAATTCTTGTGTATATAAAATATCTGTGAAGTTCACGTCTACTCTGTATACGACTGAAAAATAATAAATAAATATAAGCAAATGAAATTCAAAATTAAATACAACTCTTTGCTAAGGGGAAATAACTCTAGTATGTGCCTTTTATGCAAAAACAACTTACCATAATTACTGTGGATTCATATATTTTCCTGGATACCAATTTTCATGTATTGATGAAAACTTGCATTTTCATGGATATTGATCTCTTGGTATTGCCAAAGTCTATATACATTAGCCAACAGAAAATTTTAAATTTGGAATCCACGAAAATTGGTTCTCCACAAAAAATACTGAATCCACAGTATACAAATTGATGCCAAGCTTCAGTTATTAGAGTTTTTTTTTTTTCTCTGTACCAAGTTTTGTGGCTTGTTTTGGAACACATCTCAATAATACATGTACTTTTGTGTTATCTAATTATTGAAGGAAGGGCTGTATTTTCAACACCATTAAATACTGTATACATGTAGAACTCTAATTGATCTTAATTTACACCCACAGATAAAGTTTTATTTTGTGCCATATCAAAATATTTTTTTCCTATCCATTTGAACTGACTGGGTGAGTGTTCTGCTGTGAATATACAGTGAATTTTTTCATATTGAATGCTGCATTAATTGGATCCAAGACTCAACTGATCAATTGTATCAGGGCATGCATTTTCAATTTCTTCAGTAATCTACAGCATAAACAATGCAAGTTGATTCTGTTTTTACCTACCCTTCGTGGTGTTGAGTGAATCACAGTGAAAACAGGGTGATTGCTGGTGATTAATTTAGGATTCTGTCATATAATATCTATTGAATATACAGTAAACCAACCTATTTTTTATTGTTACTTTTTGTGTTTTACCTTTTTATATCAATATAAGAGTTTGAGTGGAAAGAAGTAGGGGACACACTGTGGGCAAGTGGAAAAGACAAAATCCTCCTGCGCTGTAGTGTACCTGTAAATGCTCTTTTGTTCCGACGTTGGAAAGTTCCAGGCGGAAAGAACTAACTAGCCGAAAAGTTCCGGAGGAACTTATTAACTAGTTACTTTGTTCTTCCTCTGGTTTAAAAGTTCCACCGGAACAAAGTGACTAGTTGAAAAGTTATAGCTACTTTTTTCTGGAACTTTTCGACTGCACTCGGAATAAAACAACTAGTTGGAAAGTTCCATCAGAACGAAATAACTAGTTGAAAAGTTCCGCCGGAACAAAGTAACTGACGGAACATAGTGGCTGTTACATACCTACACTATAGTACAGCTTGTGTGTAAAATTAATCATGTTATGTACTTTGTTTAACCTATTTTTAATTAACTTTTATATTATGTTTGAAATTATATTGTAATTATTTTGCTCATTTTGGGCGCCGTGATTGGCAAATAAAATATTTGTTTGTTTGTTTTGTGTGGATAATGCTATTTCCACTCCTTCCTAGTAGTGGGAATTTCGCCCATTGCCATTCTACTTATGTCTTTTTGTAGCAATGTTAAACACATTAAATGTTGATTTCTGTACTTCAATTAGTTTTATGCATAAATCTTTACATATGGCAAATGAAATGGCCATTCCACTTAAACGAATGTGCACCAGGGACCACCAACTAGAAATTTTGCCTCTCCCATCAAGCACTTTAGTTGTAGTGTACATATAAAAATAAGAACATGTGGTATGATTGCCAATGAGATGACTCACCACCAGAGACCAAATGACGTAGAAGTTAGCAACTATAGGTCATCGTATGTATATATTTTTGCTCATTACATGTAGTTTTAACAGCTTTATCTGCTCGTATTCATCATTTCTCCTCAAATGCAACCTATGATCTCATCAGCTGTATACCTCCTTCAAGCCAGACAACGAACTCGTTAACTGCACTTATAATTATACGTTAATAAACTATCATAACCAACGCAAATATTGCTTTTTCTTGTTAATTAAATCTTCATAAAACTTTCTCATCATCAATCATAGCTTATCAAATCAATCTTTCGGTAAACAATTGACATTGATTAAAGACAATCCATAAAGCTATTTAGAACTGGCAAAATGTTATATTATACAATAGAATCAGATAATCTCTGGTGATACAGCAGAAAAAATAACCTCACGGAATTCTTCGCCTGATTATGACACATGTTTTGGCATTGCAGTCATTGTTAATTATTTACCTGAATATTAGCCAAAGCTTGAAACTACTGTAGAGTACTATAGACACCACTATACCATACCACAACACATGACATACCATCATACCATACCATGTTTTACAGTATGCCATAAGTTATATATATTGTATGTATAGTTACGACAGTACAATCTTGTAAAGACAAAATTAACTATTACTGCTGTTTAATGAGAGAAGATGTGATTTTATTGTATAACAAATCATTTTGACAATTAAAAATAGCTTAATGGTATTGACTTATATATACTTTATACTTCTCGGTTTCTGCTTGTCCCTTATGTATACATTTTTAGAAAATTTGGTCAATACAGATATAAGTAGTAAGCTCAGAGTCTTATTTGATTTTTAAGGCCCTAAGCTATCCAAATGAGCCCTGAAAAGTTTGTTTTTTTCAATTTCATTATAAACAGAAGCAGAAAACTGGCAAAAAATCAAGGACTTACATGAAAGTTGAAACTATAAACATTATTCAGGAAACATCATAATTAGAGGGGCAGAAGGACCTTTTGAAGGATGTTGGGATTGGGCCTTTATTTTTGCAAGAATGCCAGGACTTACACTTATCAGGACTTGGGAATTCATGATTAATTTTCAAGACCCAGGAAAGAATGCTTTATTCTTTTTTTTTCAGGAACTTAAGATTCAGTGTTAAATTAAAAAAATTATTTTCTGGGAATTTCTAATAACAACCCCACCTACTCCTCTCCTCTCCTCTCTACCCCCCCCCCCCCCCCCTTTTCCCCCATATCAAATGGGTTATGATGTAATGAAACAATCATATGGATGGTTTTTAACCCAGAACCTGTTTAAAGAGCTAATATAAAATAAAATTGTAATAAAACTAACATGTGGCAGCATTTCTGCTATACCTACAAGTGTTGTATACAAAGGTTTGAAAATATGTTTAGTACCGGTAGACCCACATAGATGAAAGGGGTGACACAGGGGGTGCTCATTTCCCAAATACAGCTTTCTTTGATATTTTTTACCACTTCCCACCTTTTTTCCTTTTTTTTCCCAGATCCCACTTTTTTACTCCAATATCCCACTCCCCCCCCTCCCCCTATATCCCACATTCTTACTTTTTTTAACCCCTAATACCCAACATTCCAAAAGTGTGTCCTCCCCCTTAAGGATGCTTAGTAACAAGTAAATTCTTTGAGTTAACTGTTTTGTATTTAATTTAACCTTTTTTTGTCCAAACAACATTCTAATACCAGAAACTGATTATGAGTATAAAGAGAGGCGAAAGATACCAAAGTGACATTCAAACTCATAAGTCAAAATTAAACTGACAATGTGGCAAAAAATGAAAAAGACCAAAAGACAAACAACAGTACACAAAACACAACATAGAAAACTAAAGACTGAGCAACACGAAACCCACCAAAAACCAACAATTTTTTTATCAACTAAAAATAGAAAAACAAAAGATATGGGGATATCCATCCATGACACAAAATCAGTACATGCACAGCAAAAAAACAAACAAAAGATGTCAATTCAAAAAAGTCAATTTAAATTCAATTGTTAGATGTTGAAATCAAGATACTGCTTACTTTTATTTTATATCGCTTTTCTGTAAATTTATCGCTGACATCGAATTTCCCAAAATTCTGCCTCAATCAGTTCTGGTTTCATCATCATATATATTTCTTTATCAATTTCGGATAAGATTAAATTTGAACTCACAATTTTCCAGACAAATAAGTTACACTTGAATGATTTTTCGGTGTGCAGATTTCATAAGCATGCAATTTGATAATCATGAAAAAATATTCTGACAAAACAGAGGTCAAGGACCAATATTCTGTTATAGAATTTAACCTTTCAAACTCCAGTGGACCTTTGCATTAATTCCAATTGATTTAACATTAATAAAAAACCTACAGTAATGCAAAAATATTCAACTTATTCTTTTTTCATAAACAATGGAAGAATTAATAATAAGAATCAAAATTGAAAAAACTGATCTTGTTTTTCTGCTTTGTGATATTTGTTGGTCAGTCTTAACTGCTCCATATTATATTGTAAATATTTTTTGTAATTGCCTACAACCATTCAGACACATTGTAAAAGGTTCTATTGCAGCTTCACAATTTCAAAGATGTAATCCAATACTGGTTAGTAAACCCCTTACACTATATTAAAGCCTCAGAAAAGGGTAATTTTGATGATGGCATATATTTGATTACTGGTAATTCTCTGAGGGTCTGGATGGGGGATCCTTCATTTCTGTAGTCTATAATTTTTTAGGCTATTTTTCTCTATTCTTTATACTTTTTGCCCTGGCATTATTCTCTATTCTTTATATTTTAGCATCTCATTATTCTTAATTCTTTACATTTTTTGCCCATTATTCTCTATTCTGTAAACCCCCATCCACACCCTCAGGCCTCTTCTCTGCTATAATAAATTTATTTCAAACTTTTTGGATTTTTAGACTAGCAGTGATGGATCCAGAAGTAGATTGGGGGTTGGAACCCCCCTTTTTTCTTCGACGATCAATGCTTTTGAATGGGGACATATAGTTGAAACCCCCCCCTTTTTATCCTGGGTTGGAACCCCCCCCCCCCCCTTTTTTAAAATGGCTTGATCCGCCCTGACTATGGTGTTTAAGAGCTAGACATAATGCATTTACCCCTATCTACTGTTGTTGACCGATAAAGGTCTTTTGGCTTTTGTGTGGTTGCTGTCTCATTGTTATATTAAAAAAGAAATAAAAGAAGAATGTGTCTGAGGACATGAACGCCCCCCTCAAGTTTTGCAATCAAATGGGACAGATAGACGAAAAGGCAGAAAGACAGAATAATGGATGGTCAAGGGTAACACTTAATGCC